GAGAGAGAGAGAGAGAGAGAGAGAGAGAGAACGCGGAGAGCTGCGTGGAGGGGAAAGAAAGTCGTAAAGGGGAAAGTTGCGAAAGTCGAAGCTGCATCAGCGGTGAAGAAATGGCGACGAGCACGAGAAGAGAGACTCCGAGAGCAAGAGTAAGACCAAGAACGAGGATTCCAAAAACTAAGGAAGAGGTCGAAGAAGAGGGTGAGACGTGAATCAGTCGATGGGAAAATAAAATAAGATAACGAGCGGAAAGCAAAAGTCAGTTGGAGATTCTGGCGAAGAAAAATTTCGAGGATCTCGGAAGGAAGTTGGAGGGGAGAGAATTCGTGGAGAAACGAGGTTATGGGTTTTGAGAGGGCGGAGGGGGTGGGTGTATAAATACGACGAGAGAAAAAGGAAGAACGGCTGCAAGGGAAGATCGCGATCGGGGTAATAAAAGTAGCGAGAAAAGAGAATTTATAGAATACGCGAACGAGGATCAGGGACGGCCAGGGTTTACTGGAATGGCCGAGCTAGCGCGTATATAATTCGGATGAAAATGGAGAAAAAGAGCGAGATTTAAGGCGAAGAAGCGGAACGAGCGAATAACAAGAAGGTAATGGAAGTTGCGCGATAAAGAGAGCGACGAAAGCTGCTTGAGAGATGATCCTGGGCTATTTTGAAGGCATTTCAGACGCCCTCTTGGTACCAACAGGTGGAAACTTTTTGTAATGCCATGCAAATACTCTAAATATTTGGTGTTTTTCTTTGTGCTTGCGAACTCTTAACCGAGTTGTTCTCTTTTTCATAGAAGATCGAAGGAAGATCGTGAAAGACGGAGAAGTCATGATGAAATTTTTAGCTGGCTAAAAATCACGGAAGTTGATCAGATATCCATTCCTGGTTTATAACGTTGTAACTAGCCTTCATTTATTATTTACAGTTACCATTAATGGCTGACCGGCTGTCCTATTTCTTAGGTTGAAATATTAAGAGGCAATTAGCTGTTGCTTCGTCGCGATACTGTTGACGTATAAATGTCGTAATTGCATTCGCTGGAAGGTACATTTAGAACGGAATCCCGTTGGTCTCCGATTTCAGGCCGGATTCTTGATCAACCATTCCACTCGTGCGCGCCGATGCTACAGAAATACGCTCGAAAGAAGCTTTCCGAGACTTTATGAGACCAATAAGTCGACTTTGCTTCTCTTTAGCATATTCGTTCGGCTCGTTCCTTCCTTTTAACGAAGACGATCGGAAAGCAACGACTGGATGAACTCGATTCGAAAAGGAGAAGCACTCGGATCAGTCTCGATCTTTCACGCGACTTTGTTCCTTTTCTGAGCATCGAGTTATATTAACGTTAATAAATCCACGTAAGAAAATTGCTTAATTAATGCAGGAGAGCCAAGTTTATCCGACTAGAATTAGCGATGGAAGTTTACGATCATATCTTACATATGTATACGTGGGTTAGATAATCTTCGAGCTAAACTTTGGCAGCATATTTTAGGAGTAAGATGTTCCGGAATATACGTGAACCTACACCACTGAAAAGTATTGGACTTTATAGAACGATAAGTGATAATGAACCTACTGTTAACACGTAACGATACAGACTGAGATACATCACTGATCTATGTTCTATATCCTGAAGATATTATAATCGAACTTTGATAAAATCTCAATGGACCATGCCCTAGAATAAGCCCAAATTTCTAAATTCATGTATTTAGTATGACTGAATTCATGTCAACTTTGTTTACGATCTCCCTCGCAACACCAAACTCATCCAAAGTCTCGAAATCCTCAAATAACATTTGAGTGTTTCGCATACAATAACACGCTCGAATATTACGTAACAATGATAGCTTCTCTCAAAACAACCCTCTGCCCAACGCGACCCGAAATTAATTACCATTCCTACGCGATGACGACGAAGAATCGGATTTAGAGAAGCTTCGAAACTACTGAACCTCGTCGCGATCGGAAG